AAACATTGTATGCGAGACTCATATTTATACGCCCGTGATTAAGACTGAAAAGACTTCAATGCTGCTGGAAATTTCTGTGTGAGTGTGTGAATGGCAATGAGGAACAAGTGATCGGAGACAAATACACCATGAGGTTATTCAATAAATGATGAAATCAACTCTTACCATTTCCAATTCTTATAGTGGCGTTTTTACTCGGTGGACCGATGTACTTGGAGTTATTAACGGACACCGTTACACTGTACCACGTGCACTTTTCTAGTGACGTAAGATTCCACGTGTTGACCACACCTACGTCAACATTCTTTGACAGGCCTTTGTTTGTTGTGTAAGTTACTCTATAACCTATTAATGGTCCGTTGATAGAATGGTTTTGTGGATGCTGATAAAACAAGAAATAGCCTCTGGTTAGATTCAGTCATATTCCAGTCTTTCAGTTTGATGTTCTCACCTTCCACGTGACTCTGATAGAATTTGGTGAGAGTGTTTTCAAAGTAGCAACGCTTTGGATTACCTGTGGGACTAAGTCAAAGCCGGAGATATAGATACAAGATTTTATACCAAATAGCTCACTTTCAAGTTAACAAACCTCCTATGTCAGTCTGGATGGTCTTGTTATCGCTCCATAATCCATACGGGACAGCCTTGACTCGTATTTTATATTCAGTGTATGGCTGAAGTCCTGTGATGTTTTTGCTTGTAATAAGTGGACTAACCCTGACTGATTTCTTGCCTTCTTTTGTGATTACGTCCACAAGGTAGCCAGTGATAAGTTGAGTTAGTTTAAAACATGGTTGAATAGTCCATTGTAGGAATATCGATCGTTCAGAGGGCGTGGCGTTAACACGTGGTGCTTCTAGAAAATTGACAACATCAAATGATCGACATGGTGATATATATGGGTAATACCGCTGAAATGTTGTAACGACGTACTTTGATTAATAAAAAACACGTTGACTCTTATCGTCTTGTCACCACCGAAAAATTCTACAGGTAAGAATCTTATGTATCGTGCTTCTTGGATTGTCTTTAAATCATGACGAACTACAGTGTCAGCAGTCATCGTTTTCTTCGTTTTCTCTTTATCAGTACACCAACAGCCCTGATTATACCACCCACACTACAAAAAGTAACAATCATACACAGAATCGTTACATTCTGGCCGATCAGTATGACTTCAGTTTTAATTCAAAATTTAAAAATTTGATTTGTTGTATGAAAACACAGAGGGAATAGATTTCCGATGCATGTGCGCGAAATTTGTACGCGTGCATAATTCATTGTTGCGTAATTGCAAGAATATAGAGAAAGCCTTAGCGTAAAAAATAAGAATTGCATTTTTAACTTATATATAGTACTAGTATAAAATCGAGGCTTTCAAAATAAAGTTTGGTCAAGTTAATTCTGTAACGCGATTTACACTTTACACAGCCATTAACCAGGCATTTGGCTTGCTACTATGCGTTTAGCGTGTCCAAATGTCATCGTCCATGTAGCTATAAGGGTTTATGTTTGCTGTTTATTGAARGTGAGACGACGGAATGAATCTATATAATATTCAGCTATAAATTAACAATAACTTYGTTACCATGTAGCAATTCTGTAAGATGTCTCCATATTCAATCCATTTAGTTGAATTTGTGTCTTGTTTGAAACGAAGCTTAAATGTTTTTATCCATTCATATGATCTACGTTTGCCATTCCCTTGTGTTGCTACAGCAGTGATGGCTCGTACAGCTACAAGGTCCAGCTGTAAGTAATCCTCAGGGTTATGATTACCACGTGGTGACCATCCAAATGGGCCGTAAAGCTTTGCAGCGTGTGGTACGTATCGTCTGTTATCGGGAATATCTGGATGTTTATCATATAAGAACGAAGAGGCTGTGTAGCTACTGTTAGGAATGATTAGACGATTCTCACCAACAAGAGATCTTTCGATGCATCCTATCAAGATATATGATATTATTAGAACAGTTGAGGAGATTTCCCTTCTAAATGAAATTACGGTCACCATTAATCATCATTATTATCATATTAGTAAAGAGTTTATCCAGTCCAATCAAACTTCAGGATTATCTAATTATCTTGGAAAAGAAAGAAGACCATACGAATTTGCTGCATAGACTTCATTGGTTGCCACGCCTTCAGTTGTATTAGACTTGGCTCAGCAAGAAATAAAACCGCTTGATTTTTTAACCCTATTTTTTAACCCTCTTGAATAAAACATTGTCACATCTAATTTGTTCCTGTCACTCAAAAATGTTTTCATGAACGCCATCTGGGAATATGGTTATTACCGACATTGCATTGCATACGATTAATTTAATGCCATAAAACCAATTTTACTCCTTCAAAGTTCCGTATATCTAATGAAGCCTTCTTTGACGTCATTTTCATTAACATATTGTAAGATTGAATCTTCATAACTCAAAGATACAACACTGAAATGCAGGAATATTTCACCTTTCTATTATTTATTTCATATAGAATCAGCTCACAGAGAATCAGAAAAAGTTTTTGTCAGGAGTCATAGGCACTTCAACTCGCACCTGTCACATAATTACGTCATTCCTAATTATCACTCATTTTTCCATCTTAATTACCAATCAACTTTGAATTTTGATACGTCGGGACAGCGAATTGACACCTATGCCTTCTAATTTCTATTTAACGAATTGCGCACGGTTATGAGTTTTATGTTTTCTTATTGACAGACTCTTGATGTCATAAAATATTCCGCCAAAACATGAGTTTGGCTCACGGGCGCAATAACGTCAAGAATATCATTAAGAGGATATACAAACAATTTGTATATATACAAAGCTAAAAAATTAACGAAAATCAATTTTTTCTCATGAACGAGATGGTGTCAGCTTAGTGTGTATGAGAGAGAGAGTTCATTTAATCAAATTCTTTATATATTTGGGGGAAATACTCACAATAATTACTTTTCTTTCCACCAATATTTAATTTGGCCTCTAACACGTCTCCCTCCCTCACCCCACCCCCTCTTCCTTTTTCACCATAGCAAGTGGCAATAGTATATCTGACTACATCAACCGAAATAGCGGTTGTCGGCTGTTCAGCGTATTATTATTGTGTTTCGATACTGCACAATAATGGTTTTGATAACACTTCCTAAGTGCAATTTTTGTATGTACACAATACCTTTTTCGGGTATATAACGGAAGATTGTAATCGATCTTTAAATGTTTTTTCCCCTATAAATCAGTAAAGCTAAATTGAAGTGGTAAAGTTGACTCAAGCTAGTCTCGGTCTCAGTTGATAGTTACTGTTCGATGAAAAAATCAAATAAGGGACTGTTCGTTTATTATGTCTCAGGGATGGTCGGTGTTTTTATGTAGGGGGTACAATTTAAAAAATGTCTCTTTCAGAGGKGGTATATTTTTTCAAAGGATGTCTTAAGCGAGGGGTATGAATYACATGCAATATTTACCACATTCCGCTTCTTCTCCCACGAGATCACCACGTGACCTTTTATCGAGCTCGTCCAGCACACGTTACGTATTATATTGACATTTTTTATTATTCTTTTTTCTATTCTTTTCTTTAGTCTATTTCTTATATTTTTCTATTTCTTATTTAATATCATTCTTATCTTTCTACGTTTTGTTCTATTTCTTATTTATTTGCTTATCTTTCTACTTATTTACATCCATTCCTTTCTTAACCCATTCATCCATTGTCTATCGTCTTCTATCCATTCATCCACTCATATATTGCCAACTCATTTCATTCCATTTATCTCTTCCCATATTGCCTCATTTATCGATAA